GGGCGCTGGTGGAGGACCCGGCGGCCGCTCGCCCCGCTCGCACAGGCGCCGCTTCCCGGGACGGGCGATTGCTGCTCCCCCTCACCGCCCCCGGCCGCGCTTGAGCCAGGCGCCGGCTTCCAAGTGCGGTCAAGCTGCGCGGGGGAGGTGGGAGCCGTGCTGGCTAAGGACGGGCAGACGAGGTTCTCTGCGTGAATCCCGTGTCTTTCCTTAGACCCACTTAAATAGTTGGAAGAACTTTAAAGCCATCTTCCGGGTTTAAAAGCCCTTCCTCAGGCCGGCACACACCTGCAGATCTTCCCCAGCCTGACCAAGAGTTGTTAAACCCGAAAGCTTGCTTACAAGTTTTTCCAACTATTTAAGTGGGTCTAATAAAAGATGTCAGATCCACGCAGAGAACCTGGTCTTCCAAGCTGTAATACTCTTATTCATTTAAATATACGCGAGGAGGAAAGTGGCCGAGCAAGAGCAGCCCCCCAGTGCTGTGCAGCGGGGGTAGTTCAGCGCCCCTTGCTAGTCCTTTACCCGCTGCCCGTAAAGTATGTGCTCCCGGCGTGCCCGCGGGGTCCCAGCTGCTCAGCACCTCGGCATCACCGCAATGGCGAGTCTGCAAAGCGTTGAGTTTGCTGCCCCTACCCTATGACTTCCTTGAACATTTCTCTTTTCGAACCTTGCCAGAGGATAGTCCAGGTGGACGCCCCCGAGCAACATATCCACCGGGCCCGGTTTCATGTCTCCTTTCCTCCCCCTCTCAGAACAGTGCAGCAAGCCTCCGACCAACGAAGGAGAGAACAAAGAAGAACAAAGCGTACAAGTACTTTTTAGATTTTGTATAGCTATTTTGTATAGCTAGAGAAAGTTTTATAGATTGTTATAGATAGCGATAGCTTTAATATGATTATTTATATATAATTCTCCTTACTTTAATTATTCTCTTATTTAATTTAAATACTTTTTCTTAGTTTGTCTCTTTATTTTGATAAAATATACTGCATTTTCTGTTAATAAAAGTCTTGCAATTTTTTTTGTCTGTGTATATGCGTGTCCTGTTTCATTTCCTAGGCAGACTGGCATGGCTAATCAGGCCTGTGTGGGGTGGGTTGCCAGACCTGAGGACCACGCCTGGGGCTGCTTTGTTGGGTGGGGCCGTAGATGGAGTCATGGCATTACTGGAAAGACTTGCAGGGTGGGCTGTTATCTGTGGTCAAATGCTTGTTCCCCCTCCCCCCCAGCCCAATGTACAGGGATCCTGGCAAGCCTGTGGGTGAAGCCGGCATCCTCCCCCCACCACCCCAGCCAGAGGGGCAAGCAGGCATGCATGGACCGTTAATTAACATATGATCGAGGGCGATTAGCAACTCTTTCTTGTATTATACTGCATGATCTCTGGCATCAACGACGCATGCCCAGAGGCTGGAGGGGCATGGTGGCAGGGAGCTCCCACAGGTGGCCACGGTGGTGATGGCAGTGGAGGGGTGGGGGTGAGTGGTGACCAGCGGTCAGCGATCACTTGCAGATGCTGGGGGCGGCCAACAGTGATCCACGAGCACCCACAGACGCTGCCAGTGGTGTCGACAGCGAGGGTTCAGTGGGCGCACGTGCACCCTCTACGCATGGCCAATGGTCCCTTGAGGGGGTGTCTCCAGAACCTGGAACACCTTCAAACAGCGTTTCTTCTGCCCATCCATCCCCCTGCTCCTGCTCCACAGCTGACTGCTGGAGCCAGGTAGTGAAAGGTGTTGTGGAGCAACCCATGATGGGACCTTCTGTTGTTCGGGTCCTACCGCCACCAGGGGTAGTGTATGTGCTGCCCCCACCACGCTCCTGGTCAATCTGGCACCAGCGCCCCCACCCCTGCCTGCTGCTGCTGCGCCCACCCCTGTTGCTAGGAAAATCTAATTTGGCCATGTCAAGTTGACCAAACTCCCAGAAGTCTCTTCGAGATGATCCAGTTAAGAATTGGCAATGATTGTGGCCTACTGTTAACCCCAGTATAATGAATGCCAAAGAACATCTGGAAGAACAGAACCCTAAATCAGGATGAGAACGTGGTGAGTGTTGCCCCCGGCTTCCTTTCACCAGAGACCCCCAAGGAGCGACATGGCCCCTCGTCCGATTTGGTACCAAGTGAACCGTGTTAGTAACCCACAGGCTCATGACAAGTATTCTTCCATGTAATTGGACCTGGCAAGCAGTTCCTTAGATGGTACAACAGCGACCTTCAGTGGTATCGGCCTCAGATCCTCTGGCGGGCATGTGGGATGTTAGCGTCTGGATTCCTTGTTACTCCAAGCAAGATGGCCAAGGTTGCTCCCATCTCCCCAGGGTGGCAACACACACACACACACACACACACACACGAGTCTCTGTCCACTACTTTTGTAGCTTGCTCATTTCAAACCGTCCAATCCTCAAGTTTCTTTCCTCATCTTTGTAGATAAGGTCTTCTGCTATACTTGGTAGTCTTCCTTTGCATTGGGATGGTTTGTTCCTGCTCCCTCAGTAAGGTTTCTTTAAAGTACAGCCAGCTCTGCTGGACTCCTTTCCCCCTCAGACTAGCCTCCAGTGGATCCTGCCCCTCTGGCTGGGGCGGTGGGGCGAGGATGCCGGCTTCACCCACAGGCTTGGGCTGGGCAGGAGCGGGGAACAATCCCATTCTGTTTTTCGGTTTCCTTTCCTTTTAGGGAAACTACTGTACCTGGTTAACCCACTGCACCAATCACAGCAATCACTTTTCCCAGTGCCGTATAAGGCACTCTGTACAAGTTAATTGCTTAGTTCCAGGAAGGCCTAAAGTTATGCTAAGAGCCTGAGCATAACTCAGTTTGCCCGTTACAGTGACCATTGGGACTAATTAGTGTGGGAACAGGAAAATATTCCAGGTGTGTAAGTGTGTACTATTATGAAGCTTCCAAAATATCATTAATGAGCTGGGCTAGCATTGATGATGCTGACACCACTAAAGGGTTAAATAGCCTAAGCAAGTGAAATCATCGTTCACTGTCAGCGGTCTGATTCACCTGCGTGGATTTCTAAGGGAAGACCAAGCAATCGGACTTGGAACAACGGCAACCCAGGAAGCTCGCCCGGCGCGGCCGACTGGGAGCACCGCCTGGGTACCAGCTCCAGCCGGACTGTGATGCGGTGAGGAGTCACCTTAACACGCTGAGTCTTTGGTAACTGCCTGCTTATATCCTGGCAGTCTCAGTCAGGTTGACTACCTGTATTCTGGCAACCCCAGTGGATGAATTGCTTTGTGTTTAATGGATCATTTTATCAGTCAATTAAGCTTCTGACTGATAATCGGACGAGTGCCGGCCGTTAATCGCATAGTTCTCCTCGCCCCCAGACAAGCAGGGCTCCAGTTTCAGCCCAACAAGCCCGACACTGAGCATGGAGCACAGCGGCATCTCCAGAATAGTAAGTTTGCAAGAATGCTAGCCCTGAACACCTCAATATTTCAAACCTTCCTGTTTCTTACAGTTCATATTCCCCTTCCAGTACCCGTTCCC